AAATCAGTGCATCCTAAAGGAGAAAGCAAGTTTCTGTTGTGCAGAGTTCCACCATGGGAAGGATTACAGGGGATGATTGCCCCAGTCAGACAGGAGGAGAAATAGCTGGCAGAGGAAGTCCAACGGAAAGTAAATTGGATAAGAGAGGCAAGACAAAACATTGTTAACAGGAAATGGATTGGTGCTCAGGGGAAAGAAAGAATACTTTGTTTGTGGGAGGCATTTTAATTTTATGGTAACAGATGACAGTAAAATGAATTTGGAAGGAAGAAAGGAACTTCATGGAGACACAAGTCTTAGAGCATGAGGGGAAACCAGTGATTTCACCAAAGAGAACATATGGTGGAAAAGCTGAAGAAGCGAGAAGAAGGATGCATCTGAGAAGAGGAAAATGAAATGGAAAAAAGGAGGAATAATGATGTAGAATTGAATTAAGAGAAAACAAAGAGAAGAAAAGAGAACAGAGATAGGATGAGAATACGAAGAAATCATACAGAAGGAACAGAAAGAGTGGAGATGAATCTTGCAGTCCTTGGTTAGGCAGAGCTTCTTTTTAAATGTCCTTTCTTTGCAAACAACCGTAATTTTTTGTCTTTAGAATAGTTAGCACTTGTTGCTGGTGAGGGATGAAGGGGTGAGGATGAGATAAAAGGGAGAAGCTATAGAGAACACAACAATCCAGGGGGGAAAAAAAAGGACAGGAAATAAAAAAATAAAGGGAAATTAAAAAAAAAAGGAAGGAAATGTACCTTTTTAAAATTAGGAAACATGTTAAAGAAAAAAATGTAAAATCATAAAGAAAATATGACTAGAATGAAAAGTAAAAGGAATAAAAACAAGGAACACTGAAGTTATTAAAGCCCAATTCTGATGCCTTTCTCATAGTACTTTAGTAATTTCACTCATGTGAGGCAGCCTCTTGTAAAGAGAGTTACCGTCTTTACAGTAAGTGTGCAGAACCTTGCCCCAAATATTTATTTACTGAAGTTAGGTTGCTCTAAGCAATTCAATTAAAAGAATAAAGTAACTGAATATTCCTAATTTTACATGAGCTTTACTGTATTTGGCAACCACTTATAGAATATGGCAAATCTCTAGGGCCTCTGCTGGAGGACTGGACTGCAGCTTTGGAACGAAGGAAACAACAATATTGCTGCCTCAGGAGGGGTAAAGCAATGAAAGAGATGTTCAGGAGGCCACAAGTTGTTTCTTGCTGCCCTCATGCCTATGGATTTCTTTCAGAACCACTGACCCATTCAAGGCCTCATCCCACTAAAAGACTTTGAATGGACTTCAGCAGACACTAGATTTCACTTGTAGGCCTGTTATACGAAGCTCTGCTAGCCAGCGTAGGAGCTGGGACACTAAGAAGTCTTTGTTCAGTTATGGGCCATAGGCTTGACAAAGTGGTGCTCCTGCCCTTCAGGGATCTGCACCCAGAAACTGAATGACTTCTGCAAAGGAGCAAAACAGCGATGAACTTCTGTCTATTTCCCTGTGTGCAGGCACAGTTGTATGTAAATGGGTTTTTAGTCACATGAAACAATTTTCAAATTCATGAGATCAATTAAGACTGTTTGTCTTAATCACTAAGGGTGGTATTATCAAGGACAACAAACAGCTGTAAAGGATCCTGTCTGCCTTTTCATGTTTCATTACACAGGTGTTTTGATCTTTCTCTACTGAACTGACCATATTTTCTTCTTTCTTGTAGGCTCTTTCTACATTACTAGAAACCAGCAGGTAGCTCTCTTGTGCCCTGGAACATTGTCACTTACATGCCAGCTTACGCATGTCATGTTAACTCCAGTTTGTGGTTGGCTAGATGCTCTCAAGAATATGCTGGACAGCCATCAGGGATCATTGAGATGACTGTTTTACTTCTCACTGTGTGATAACACTATGTAAATGGCACAAATGAGTTGATCTGCCCCTCATACTACTCAGTCTGTTGGTCTTGAATAGCCAGGGACTGGATGAAGCCTGAAACACAAATTTAGAACAATTCAAGAACTTTTTTTGTGTGTGTGTAATTATCGTCATGCTTTTTTATAGGAGATTCCTATAAATACCCTCTCCCTTTGGAATGCTCTTAAGATCTAGGTCCCAGTTAATTAATTCCCAAGCACAATGCGCTCCTCAGTCTGATTGTATGAAAAGTATTTCCTTTACTCTGAGATTGCCACTTGTTGATTTAATCAAGATTTCTTCTGTTTTGAGCAAGGGAGAAGCACTCCAACCGTCTTCTCTGTGACATTCATTGTCACAGGTAGGGTACTGATTATGGCTAAGTTTGACTGGCATTTGCCATTATAAGACAAATTTCAGGTCAACCACTTCTGAGAATGAAGCTAATAAAACACGTTGCTCTGCCCAGGACAAAAGAATTGTAATAACCTCTTTTCTTTAAGAAGCTTCAGTTTCCCTAAAACTTGAAGTATGGCCTTGACATGTGTCAGGGAGATAGCAGTTATGTTAGTAATGGACTTCTTGCCATCGCAAGTGAAAATCTGTCTCAAACAAGTCCAAGCAGGTGAGCTTCCAGCATTGCATATCTACTCTGTAGAGATTTGCTAGATCTCTGTGTGGAGTTTCTTTAAGATTTTCTCTGTACTGAGGATGCTTGACCCTAAGGCTGAAGTAGAATCCCCACCCCTATGGTTGTGGCTCTGGCCTGCTTTGGGCCAGGACAGCAGTAAAGACAGAGAGACTAACTCGCCTCTCTTCTTGGTGATCAATTTCCACAGTCCTCTGATGGCTTCCAGGGTGGGTGGGAGTGGCGCCTACATGATGTGGATGAAGAGGGTGCAAACATTAACCTTGAGTCTGAAGAAAAAGAGATGAGGGAAGGGAAAAATCCCCTGAAGACTACTAAGGAGCTAGAATTTGAGTTTGGAGTGGAGGGATAGAGGGCCTGACTATGCAGAGAGTAGTAATCACTGTGGTAGAGGAAAGAAAACAAGGAAAAAGAGGTGGCAATAGTGATAAAACAAGGTAGAGGAGGACAGAAACTATCCAATAAAAAGGCTGGTGAAAGGGACACAGATATGGTCTGCGGACAAAGACTGACTGGGAGCTGGAGGGGAACTGAAATGGGACAAGGAGTTGAGGGATGACAGACTGCGGGGAAAGGACTACGGGGAAAGGAGTGCAGGGAGAAGGCAAGGCTAAAAAAAGCATGGAGGCAAAGGAAGTGCAGATCATGTGGAGAAGAGCGTGAGGAAGTGATGGGACTGGAACAGGACAAGTGGTGGAAGGAGTCAAGCCTGAGAGGAACAAGCAGAAAGTCTGTGTTCGTTAGTGTATCTCCCCCTCTTCCCCAAACTGATGTTCCTGTGCCTGATACTCCTCTGCTCTCACCCAAATCCATGAGCACAGCATGTGTCTTACTCCTTTTAGAGCAGGACCAACAAGATAACAAAACCTATCAGCCTCTCCATCCATTCAACTGACAGGAAATCTCTTATTTCCAGCTATGAATATAAGCATTATCTCACCATATGACTAACTTACACTACTATTGTGCTTTTGTAACAACCTTGAAATTTATCCAAGCAAAAAAAATGAAGCTAAAAGAACATCCTTAGAGTTGCACAAATAAGCTACAAAATGCTGGAGTTACAGTAGCCCACAGTATAGCATAATCTTTGAGCCCCGGATTACCAGTTCTTTTTCCCCAGATCCTTGCCTTGTCCAGTGCACAGGACAAACTGTGCTTCATTACGGAGGAACTGATTGATGTATTGCCTTTTTACTTGTTCAGTGTGTGGCCCCAGACCTCTATTAAAGCTCTTCACCAAAGACATAGTTATTCATTTCCTCTTGAGCTCTTCTGTTTTTTTAAATCTTAATTTATTTTCTTGTGTTTCTACAAGATGAGGGTCTTCCCCTTCTCATTCACAGAGAAGTGGACAGATATTAAGGGAAAAAGCATTTTTGGGTACCCAGTCTAGGTCAAGTAGAAGATGATTTTTTAGACTATGTCTTTAAATGGTTCTTTATACAGTTCCACAGTGAAAGTGCACTTAAAATTGTAACTGTGAGTACGATGTTCTTCTGTAAATTAAAGTCCAGAGACTCAAGCTGGATATTGAGGGAGCACTTGTGAAAAACATGTTTTAAGTGACTTGCCTGCCATTGCACTGGAATTACACAGCAGACAGAAAGCTTCAGCTCCTCAGCCCTCTACTGCCTCAAGCAAGACCATCCTTTACCCTTCTACACCTCCCTACCTCCGAAGTTATGCATGCTGGGGAACAGTTTAGTGAATCAGGTAGGGAACAAACCCTGGGACAACAGCCTGCCTGTTGCATTAGTAATTCTGATACATCCCTAGAACAATTTCCATTGGGAATTCACTGAAAGAAGGATGAGAAAAAAATCATCATTGCGTGATTTTAATCACAATGTATATTGTTATCATAATATACATGTTCTAAGAGGAATTGCATACAGTTGAACAAGCAACTATTTTTCTAGCATCTCCTAACTTTTGATGGATCTATCCTGTAAACTTAAAAGGGCTTCTCGCATGTTGCTTTTATTGTGTAGTGCACTTATCCACATGGGGAAATTGACTGGAACAACTCTTGTGGGGTACAGTACCCCTCGACAGTTATTCTAGAATATTTTTTTAGGAAGAATGTCCACAAGGGATGCTATTCTGGACTAGCTATTGAAAAGTAACTTATTCTGCACTAGCTATTTTAGTCACTTCTCCCACACAGACAAGGGGTAACTTTATGTATTTTTAATGCGAAGTCTCTTGTCTTCTTCCTACAAGCTTGTCTACATGAGAAAATTTACTGACAGAGCAGTAGCAGTATATTTATATCACTATAATTATATCTATATATTTTATGTACTAACAGCTACCAATGTGGATATTTTTATTCCAGAATACAAGTATTCACACTGGGAGTTATACCAGCATAATTTTACTGCTATAGCTCTGCTAGTAATTTCCCCATGTAAACAATCTCTGAAATAATCTAACCAGGATTTTTTCACATCTTCCTTTGCATGACAGTTTCTACAAGCCCTTCATAAGCTTATATCAGTCATATATTTTACATTACCAATACGGTGTGAGCTATAGTGTTTGTTTACTTGAAATATGTACACGGAGTATCTTTGAACAAGGTCATCCAATACACTCAGATTTTTGCAGATGTGCAAAAACTGTTAATGCTTCTTTTGTATACTTTTAATGTGGTTTTTTTGCTATGTAAAGACCAAAGTTAATCCTGATTAGGTAATAGCAAAGACTCTGTACTATGTGATCTCGAAGAAAGGGCTGTTCAGGAGGTCAGCTGTTACAATCCTACCACTGAAACTCAGTTATTTCACTGCGGTGTGTTTCTCTCTCCTCTCCCACATGTTACAGTTCTTTCTTGTTTAAATTGTGCAAGCTTTTCCTAGCAAGAAAGGTCTATCACTCTAGATTTATGTAGTGCTAGGGTTTGTAAAATGGTTTGCTACACTAACGAAGCGAACAAACAGTAACAAACAAGCAGCCTAACCAAAAGTAGGAGGATCTGTCCGCCCACCAAATTCTGAGCAATATAATTCATTATATTGACCGATTGAAAAACTTCCCATTTCTAAAGAATATAAACAACATTTCAGTTAAAAGAATTGCCCTCACAAGTTAATTAATGGCTGCTACCGTTTTTATGACCATTTTTAGCATTGATTACAATTTCTCAAGGCATGTTTACCTTAAGCCCCATCCACGACAGCACTTAGCAGTTCTTACTGGTAAGAGTCACTCTACTTAGCAATATACAATCTACTGTATGGAAAAAAAAAAGCAGGGAAAGCAGATCAGGAAACGCAGCAGTGAGAAGGACAAACAGAGGGGAGACTTAAGGAGAGCCAGGGAGCAATACTTACTGCTGACTAACTGGCCAACACTCAAAGCTGAAGAGGAGGAGGATGAGGAGGAAGAAGAGGAAGCCTGACGCACTGGGCTTTGAGACATAGACGCTTGACTGTGAGCCAAATGCAGGAGATTGGGTTGTGAGGCTGCTTGTCCCACTTGCGTCTGGGAGGGCTGATGGAGCTATATGTTAAAATGTAAAAATAGATATTTAGAAAATGAAGCAGTAATAGGAAACTTTCAATGCACCACCTCACCCACCTACTTCTGGGGAACAAATCCCATAGGAGCATTAAATACCATGGACTTAGTTCAGGTGACAGAGTGTTACAGCAAGAGCAGTCTGAGCTCCTTTGAATTCTGACTTTCCATTTTTTTGCAGTTTATTCAGATACTTAATCTAATTAGAAGCGAAATACTTCCTTGAAATGGGTGGTAAGAGACCTATGACATTCCCAGCAGCATTCTGACTTAATAAATACATGTCCTTACCTGTTTTCTGACTCATGAAGTCAGACTTTTATTCCCTACATGGATTCTCATACAAATCAGCATTGTTTCAGAGAGGTCCTTTCATACTGCAGGACCAGGGCCAAGAAGAGTGTGAGTGGGAAGAGCAGATAAATTGGGGGAAAATGCCTTTCCTACAGAAAGGAATAATTTGTTTTATGACATTAGATCTAGCAAACAAACCAAAACGTTTAAACCTTATTTCTCAATTGATAAATTGTCTTTGCCTAAAACACACAGTGAAACATTTGAGCCCCATTCATATCAGGACTGTGTTGAGTAAGACATAACTAAAAAGTCTAGTGAGTACAGTAGATGCAAATGATCACTGTGACACATGAACCTGGCTTTACAAATTTTTTTTTTTTTTTTTACAATTTTTACAACAGCGTAGTCTTCGGTTGGTCACTATGGGAAAGGAAAGAACCATTAATCCCTTCTGCCTATAATCAGCTTTCATATGGGACTGAAAACTAGGAACATTCTCTGATACTGATTTTTACATAAATCTCCCAGCAAATTTGAAGGGCAGTCTCTCTACAGAATAAAGGTACACAATGGACCTTACAGTTCTGAATTGGCTTCTAGTAGTCCAGTACAGCCTTTTCAGAGCCTAATGATACAGTAATATAGTCCTGATACACTCAGGTGACTACTACTTATTATACCTTTATTTTATGTTGATTCTTGATATTGATCAAAAAAGATTGCAAAAATGTACTAAAAGGCTTCACTTCTAAGTGATAGCTGTTATCTGCATTCTCAGAAAGGGGGAAAGATAAAGGCCTATTTGGTCTTGCTTGAAGTCAGTAATTTAAATCTACTTCTTGAATTCTAAGGAGTATGAGTTTTTCTCTTTTGATATTTAACTGAACAAATGACTTCAGAAAAGGAGCTGAATTCATTAGTAATACTCAAATTATATATAATATTCTCCCAGAACACATAGAAATGACTGATGCTAAGTAGACAACAAATTGTATGGCATAGTAGATAAAGGTATCTGATCACATTCAAGATAACACTTTTCTGTGGAATACATATGAACAATTTTAATGACATTATTCATCTTACGGGTCTGTTTAAGAATGGAAAAAATGACAACTCTTTTTTCTACCTCCCACATGGAATGATGTTACACAAAATGAAGCAAGAAACTTTGAGTTACCCTTTAATAATAATGAAAATTATTTATCTGACCAGTTTTAGCCTATTCTGACTTCCCTAGGGATCTATAAACAAAAACCATTTTATTATCTTGAGGAGTCTTTTTGGATCAAGCACATTTTAAAAAAGAAAACTGACACTGTATCAAAGGGATAATAGTTGAGAAGCTGACTGAAAGGCTTCCAGATTTCAGACTCATGCAAGCACTGGGCATCTTTAAAAAAATTTCACTAAGGGCTGTATTTTATCCATAGAGAGCTCCCAACCCAGAACGTCTACTTTTATAATATCTTCTCCTAGGGAAGCAGTCCACTAGGAGTGCTGGCCTCCTCTGAATGCTGCAGAAATGGACTGCCTATCCACTACGCCCACATCACTCCAGACTGCAGCTTTTAGAAATAGGCAGGTGTTTGGTCTCTGGGTCTGACATCCATGGGAATCTCTGGCAAAGCTAAAGATTTCAGCCTAGGCAAGGGAAGAAAAATATTGTATTTATATGACCTAGATGCTTTTGCACTATCTGGAACAGTCTTAAAGATGTTAGTGCTTATCTGTGAGGATGGAGGAGCAAATGTAGTAGCTATCTTTAAAAAGAAAGATCTACAAAATTATAGTCCAGTCAACGAAACTTCAACCCATGGAAAAGTACTGAAGAAAATAATCAAACAATTTGTAAGCACCTGCAAGAAAACAAGGTAGCGACAGAAAACATGGATTGTTAGGAACAAACTGTGTCAAACCAATCTGATCTCCCTCTAAGACAGGGTAATTGGCCTTGCGGACAGGGAAAAAGCAGTAGGTGGTTTGACTTTACAAGTCTTTCGACACTCCCTCGTGTGACATTCTTTATAACCTAGGGAAATGCTAGATGAAATTGCTGCAGAATGAATGCAAAAGTAGTTAGAAAACAAAACTGAGAGGATAGATATCTATCTGTGGAAATGGAATTGTGCATGGATGGTGCTTCACAGAAGTCTGTCCTCGTTCTGCACTACTAAATATTTTCCTTATGTCCTGGATGATGGAGTCTGCTCTTGAATATTCTCTTTAATATACTTAAATTTACATGCTGATAGCATGACAGGAGGGGCTTTTGATAGGTTGGAATGTAGGATTAGGATTCAAAATGATCCTGTCAAGCTTGAACATGCTACCAGCAATGCTGGGGTGTTGCAAAACTGAAGAAAAGGCAACTCCCATACTGAGCTGCGTGAGCGGGAGTGATGTCTGCAGTGCATGTGAAGAATCTTGTGTTCTACTAAGCACTGGGAAGACCTCTGCAGGGTGGGTACCATGTCCACAGCTAGATGCCACACTTCAGAAAAAAACTGAACCAACTGGAGGAGACTAATTAGAGTGGCTGAAGGCCTGGGAGTTACCTGAGACTTACGAAGACACCTGGAATGAACTGGTTGCGTTTAATCTAAAGAAGGGAAGACTGAGTGGGGTATGATACCTGCCTCAAATACAGGCAGAGATAATAAAAAGGGGAGAGAGTGAGTCTGTCTTACATTTTATAGTGGAGAGAATGAGGCACAGTAACCTGGAAGATTCAAATCAGATGCTGGGAAAAGCTGTCTAACATGGCAGTGAAGCACTGGCATAAATTGCTGGGGGAACTTGTGGAGTTCCTATGAGAGTGCTTAGGAGCAAGTTAGACAAATACTGCAATAGCTACTCCGCCTGAGAACAACAGAGTGGACTGGATAATCTCTTGAACCTTGACCTTCCAGCCTTAATTTTTTATGATTCTATGCTATTTCCCATCAGTATTTCTCAGGGAGAAATACAAGATCATGTAAGACACAGATGGCAAATCCAACTTTTTACAGCCATGCTACACATACAGTCGCTGAATAGTTCAACAGCTGAGCATGTACACAATAAATTTGAAGCTTCCAGGAAGCACCAGAACAAGAGGGCATTCTGCATTCTCCAGCTGCACATGCAAAGCATGCAAAGCATGTGCAGGTGGACAGCCACTACACAGCACATGCACAGTGTGCTAGTTAAGGCCAGGAAATGTTTGATTCTTGTCACACGTATTGCACAATGCATTTGGAAATGTATTTTTGAAATAACCAGGATATCCAGAAACCTCTGGACAAATGTAAGAAATCCTCAAAATCTAGCTGGGCAAGAAGGGATATGGCTAGTGAAGTCTGGATGCACAGTGACCTTAGGTGTAATAGCAATATATAAGGGATATTTAAAGATTTTTGGTTTCTAACTCACTGCTTGTGAAGGAAAAGGGAGCAATGGGGTTGGAGAAGCTGAAGAGTCACCTTAAGGCCTGACGAGGGGCTGAGGGAGGATTCCATCTTTAACTCCCTACATAATTTCCAGCACACCCCCTGTTTTACAGACATGACGGTTAAGCTGTAAATGTCCTGCTTAAAGAACAATGATAGTTATCTATGTCACGAAATTGCATTAAAATACTCTCTCTCTTTTCATCCACTATAATTTCCACTCCAGAAATAGCCTTAAGGAGAGGCGACGATTAGATTATGAATTAGATTCTAGATGACAGAATCAATTCGAACTTGCAATAGCTGACTTTTCCCAATTTTGGACACGTACATATGATATGAATTATATTTATGACTGTTGTGCATTTTCCATCCAAAGACAGAAGGAGGCACAGAAATTACAGAAGCAGTTGCTGTAAGTGCCATTCGGTGTAGGTGGATATAGTAGACACGCCAAGAATGATGACTGTATGCAACACTGATCAGTATCTGGCAAGAATATATGTATGCACACTACAGCTAAAGGAGTAAGACGAATATGAGAAGCATAAGGTGAAGCACAATATAAGAATAAACTGGAAAATGCAGAGGACCTGATTCTTATTTCTTTTATATCAGTTTTACATGCTGCTGTCAACAGTGAAGGTAGTATTGATTGATAATTGCAGAGGCAAAGAATGAATTAGGTCTGTAAGACTAAATTTTGTTCTTAAATTATGTATGTAGGATATTCTACACCTGGGATGGTTGACTGGAGTCCTGTATTAAGGTCTTCTTATCAGATCAGGAACGTTGTTCCCTGCATCCAGAAAGTTACATGCTAATGATAGAGGAACAAGGTATTTTGCATCAGCTAAGGAGAGAGAAAGAAACTAAGTGGAAATAAAGAACAAACTTTTGAGATAATATTGCCCTGTATCATAACAGAACTGCTACTGGTTTTACAGAGAGTCTGGACAAACAGCAAGGGCAAAACATGGCCCTAATGGAAGGGAGAAGAAAGTAATGCGTTTAAATTGCAGTAAGGGAGGCTAAGGTCAGGCATCAGGAAGACCTTTCTAATGCTAAGGAGAGTGGCCTAGGTTGCCTAGGAATGTCAGGGAACCTCCATCACTGAAGGTTTTTAAGAACAGGTTAGACAAACATCTGTCAAGAATGATATAGGGACAGTTGATCCTGCCTAGGGGGAGGGGATAGACTCCATGACCTCTTCAGGTCCTTTCCAGTCCTGTTTTTCTACAATTCAGTGAAAAG